CCAGGGAAGGACCTGGGCATCACGCTATTTTTAGAAAGGCCCTGAGGGATTCTAACACAAAGCTAGGGACATACTCACCTAGGTAAATTTCTCTGTGCTACCTGACCTATCTGAGTAGGAAGGAGGCAATTGGGCAGCTCTGACCCAAACCCACATCCAAGGTCTCCCTGGAGAACTGGAGGAAGTAGTAAGGTTAGCTGGGTGGGACATGGAGATACAACCCAGATAAAGCTGGGGATTTGCCTCACTGTTCAGCTCTCCAGGTTTGAAGAGACCCAAAAGCTGGAAAAAAAAAAAAAAAAAAAAAAAAGGGCTTGGAGACAGGCAACTCTTAACCAGGGAACTAGTGAACAAACTGAACTCAAGATTTGGTTTGTTGAGTAGGTACGCATCTTTCTGGGGAGGGTAGGGAAGAAGGGAAGATTTTCTGAGTGGTCTATCCCGATAAAAATTAAGAATGCTTGTTCCAGAATAATGTGTTGGGTTCTCCCAAAAGAAAGTAGTATCCTTGGCTGTGGCTTTGTCTTCTTTGGCACATTATTTCAGAGCCCAAGAGGTACCTGAAAAGTACCAGGACAACCCCCTCACTGTCCAAATAGGGATCCTGAGGCACGAAAGGGTCAGGCAGGAATGACCCAGGTCACAAGAGGTGTTAGTGGAGAGCTGTAATCTACAACTCTTGGGTGTCTCATGTCTCAGGACAAACGAATCCGCCAGCAGGGCATTGCCTCTTATACTGCCTGGTTAGCAGAAGAACCTGGGTATTCGTTCCCAGGCCCATCCTCTCAGGATTCAGATCTTAGTAGGTCTCTGGGGGGCAGAAATCTGGATTGCAACAATCACCTATCCCCAGTGATTCTGATGATGATGCAAAGTTTGAGAAACACCAGGGAATGGGAAGGCCATGATGACCAAAGAAGAAACAAGAGTATGAACAGTTCCTTCTTTGAGGCAGGTCTTCAGGCCCAGAAAGGAGCACGTTCCTTTACAAATAAGGTAGATGGGGTTCTACTTGAGGGTGGGAATGAGATAGGAGGCACCTGACTCCTTAGTCTTAGAGCCTTTAGGTCTACTAGATAGCAGGCATTCAAGACCCTACCAGAATTTACCTCTGTGATCACTTCTCTTTCAAGTCATGCTTTGCTGCAGTCCTGGCAGCCTTCCTGCTGACTCTGGAACACACCATGGCCCTCCCTTATTCTAAGTTTTCCTTACCTCTTCACCCATTTAAGTACCAGCTTATTATAGTCTCACCATCTGACACGGGGTTGTGGATAAAAACCTTGATTCATATATTCATTCATCATTCAATTCATTTCACAGCACTTCTCAACCTTGGCTAGGCATTACCTCCAATATCCCACTGCAAACCATCTGGGATTGGGCCTGAGGTTATTTGTATAAAAAGCAGCATGTCTTTCAAGGACAATGTGGTGAGAACAAATATTTTAATTGCATATACCTCTAAACTAGTGGTTCTGCAGAATCCGAGGAATTCATCCTAGAGATGTTTAAAGTGTACTCATTACATCACTATTTGTAAGAGCAACACCACATGTACCATATGGAAGAGTCTATTGGTCAAGGGCGCTAAAGAGCTTTGAAGTCAAACCTGAACTCTACTGCTAACCAATTGTGTGACCCATGGCAAGTCACTTAATATCTCCAGACCTCAGTATCCTCATTTGTCAAATGGGGAAGTAACAGGGCATACCCTATAGAATTGTTGTGAGGTGTAAATGAATACTTAGCAACGAGATATAGAAATATGTGCTGAATATGGAATGATCTTCAAATAATATTGTTAAGTGGTTAATATACATGTTTGGCCACATATATTAAGACAATTAAGGCCGGGTGTGGTGGCTCAAGCCTGTAATCCCAGCACTTTGGGAGGCCGAGGCGGGTGGATCACGAGGTCAAGAGATCGAGACCATCCTGGTCAACATGGTGAAACCCCGTCTCTACTAAAAATACAAAACATTAGCTGGGCATGGTGACGCGTGCCTGTAATCCCAGCTACTGAGGAGGTTGAGGCAGGAGAATTGCCTGAACCCAGGAGGCGGAGGTTGCGGTGAGCCGAGATCGCGCCATTGCACTCCATCCAGCCTGGGTAACAAGAGCGAAACTCTGTCTCAAAAAAAAAAAAAAAAAGACAATTAAAACAATGACAAAGTTGGAAGGAGAGTATGTATGTGTTCATATATGTAGGGAATTTATCTCACAAAATGTAAGAAAATGAGAATGTGAAGTCTGGAAGAAAAACCTCACTTTTCACCCTTTGTACTCTGATTTTAATACAAGTTCTGAAAACAGAAGCAAAACCTAGAAATACTCAAACCACTACCAATAAGTACCATTGATGATTCTGATATACAGCTAAGAACGGTACCCAGTGGTAATCCAACTGCCTGCTCAGGATGGGGCAGTGGGGATGTGTGACCAAGCTGCGTAAGATACTGGCCTGCCCCAAAGGAGCCCCCACTCTAAAGGCAGAGCCATATCACAAACAGAACTCCTGCCCTTAGTGTTAGAGTGGTAGGGAGGGTGGCAAGGGTGAGAAATGGCTGAGCTCTGAGCCTACTGCAGCTGAGCTGGGTTCTTATTGCTCTTGTCTAGGACTAAGAAATTACTGCCAGACCAGGAACTCAGCTGATGTGATCCCTGGCCTGAATAACCATCTCCCCACTACAGTCATACTGCTTCTGTGACTTCTACATAAAAACTCAGTAAAATAAGGGTGACTATTGCTAAGGCAAGTGGGCCTGGGAGATGAGGGAGGCCAGGCAACTGTGTGGCTCCCCAAATCCCAATCCTAGCAGCCCATGCTTGCTTCCTCACCTGTAAAATAAGGCTAATGACAGGTACCTACCTCATAGGGTTGTTGTGAGGATTAAATGAGTTATTGACATTAAAAATAACAACTGATAGTTATTAAGTGTCTAAGCTATAGGTGTGTTAATTCACTGAATCCTCACAACTACCCTGGAAGGTAGATATAATTATCATCTTGATTTTTTCTTTCCTTTTCATTAGTGAGATTACATACTTCTTAGGATATCATCTTGCATTTAAGATGAGGAAACTTGGGCCGGGCGCGGTGGCTCACGCCTATAATCCCAGCACTTTGGGAGGCCAAGGCGGGTGGATCACGAGGTCAAGAAATCGAGACCATCCTGGTCAACATGGTGAAACCCCATCTCTACAAAAAATACAAAAATTAGCTGGGCATGGTGGCGAGTGCCTGTAGTCCCAGCTACTTGGGAGGCTGAGGCAGGAGAATTCCTTGAACCCAGGAGGTGGAGGTTGCGGTGAGCCGAGATCGCGCCATTGCACTCCAGCCTGGGTAACAAGAGCAAAACTCTGTCTCAAAAAAAAAAAAAAAAAAGATGAGGAAACTGAGGCACAGAGTGGTTAAACTGCTTGGTTATATGACAAGTAACAGAAATGAGATTTAAACTTAGACAGTCTGACTTGAGAGCCACGCAGGAACATGCTTTTTTTTTTTTTTTGAGACATAGTTTCGCTCTTGTCGTTCAGGCTGGAGTGCATTGGCATGATCTTGGCTCACTGCAACCTCCGCCTCCTGGGTTCAAGCAATTCTCTCACTTCAGCCTCCTAAGTAGCTGGGATTACAGGCACGCGCCACCATGCCCAGCTAATATTTTGTATTTTTAGTAGAGACGGGGTTTCACCATGTTGACCAGGATGGTCTCAAACTCCTGACGTCCAGTAATCTACCTGCCTCAGCCTCCCAAAGTGCTGGGATTACAGGCCTGAGCCACCACACCCAGCCAAGAACACTGCTTTTAAAAGTTAACATACAAGTAAAGATAGTACTTGGCTTGTTGTAAGGGCTCAATATGAACTATTATTATGAAGAAGAAGGTCTACTTAGGGTGAATAATTTGGACAAACTGCATGGAGCCCCTTGATTCCCTACCCAGCTAGCTTTCAGGTATCCACTACCCTCCCTCTTCTCTGGCTTCCACCTCTCCCATCTGTCACTGGGGCCAACAGCTCTCCATTCAGCCCTGTGGAGGCCCAAACAGCCAGAACAGCTTCAGCAATAGCTTCTGCCTCCTGTCTACAACTGGGGCTTAAGAAAGAGACAGGTCCTAGAGAAGCCTGGCTCATCCATGCCAATGCCGATCTCACAGGACAGAGTGTCTCTCTAATAAGTACTTGGGGAACTGACAGGATGAACTACATCTAAATTCTAAACTCTCTGGAAGCTGCTTATGCTTTAAATCCAACCTGCCTTTGAGGGTAAAGAATAGTATAAGATGACATGAATTTTGGAAGAGTTCTAAAATTCCCTCCTAGCCCTGATATCCTGAAGCTTAAGAAATTAATTACTGGCCAGGCGCGGTGGATCATGTCTGTAATCCCAGAACTTTGGGAGGCAGAGGCGGGCAGATCACAAGGTCAACAGATCGAGACCATCCTGGTCAACACAGTGAAACCCTGTCTCTACTAAAAAAATACAAAAATTAGCTGGGCGTGGTGGCACATGCCTATAGTCCCAGCTACTCGGGAGGCTGAGGCAGGAGAATTGCTTGAACCCAGGAGGCGGAGGCTGCAGTGAGCCGAGATTGCGCCATTTCACTCCAGCCTGGCGTCTGGCAACAGAGCGAGACTGTCTCAAAAAAAAAAAAAAAAAAAAAAAAAGAAATTGATTACTGCTCACCTTCTATCCCCCTTTCATTATGACTTTAGTCTGTTCCTTTCAGCAGCCCACATAAGCCACTCTAAATGATCTTCCTGTAAGGGGAGTTTCCAGTTGGCGTTGCCTTCTCCCATGAGTCCTCTATTCCATACCTGAGGATTCATGGCAACACAGTCCCAGAAGACCCATGATGATGACTTGGGAGGTAACAGATTCCCCACCCACCAAGCCTAGAACCCACAGTTTTTAGCCCCATTGTTGTCTTAGCCACATGACATCTGTTCTAGGTCTCCCTCCTGCTGTGTTCCCATCTCGAAGGGTGGAGACTCACCAGCACTGTTGGCCTCCGACTCCAGCAGGTGGATGTCATTGCAGTCCGCCAGTGAATGCTCTAGGCAGAGCTGCAGGAAGCGGGCCTGGGTACGAGTGACCCGTTTCAGAAGTGACAGCAGGGCCACTGTCTGCTCACACTCATTCCAGCCCTTGAACCAGCCAGCGAGGATGCCCACCTGGTCTCGGAACATCATGGTGCCGGGCCTGGGGCCAGGGTGGGGGGACGGCGGTGGCAAAGGCCAGCGCCGTCACATGGTCCCGGCTCTGGCCTCCTGTTACCTTTCCCCTGAGGGCCAGGGCTTAAGGACGTTTCTGGGCGTGGTGGCAACTGTTGTTGGGGGAGGAGGAAGCCTGCTCACATGGGGGGAGGTCTTGGTCCAGCCACACCTCTTCAGTCTCCTGAAAAAGGAAGCAAAGGGGTCAAACAGAAATAAGGGGCTGAAACTTGCCTGATGAGTGTGGGTTGAGGAGGCATGAAGGCCTCATGCGTTTCTCTTTCAGGGTACTTGCTCTGCTGAGCTCCTAGAAGAAAGATGAAGCCAACACCAGATATTAAATCAACTTTCACTCAAATCTCCAAATCCAGAGAAAAGGCTTGTTGGAACTTAGATGCCTATCCCAGAGACCAAGGAGATGCTGGCCCTCACACCTGGCTATCATAGTGTCAAAGGAAGTGGATTTAATGTAGAAAATAAATTGGAAAGATTTTTCAGAAATGGGAAATAGGAGGCTGCAAATTATGAGAAAAGATATGAATTGATGGCAATCTGGCCCAAGGTGACATGACTAAGCAGAACATATCTCTGACCTTGCTGATTTCTGGCCACCTTCTTTGAGAGCTGGACACTGTGACTGCTAACCTACTGATAGGACTCCAAGGGCGCGCTCTCTCTCTCTCTCTCTCTCTCTCTTTTTGGAAACGGAGTCTTGTTCTGTTGCCCAGGCTGGAGTGTGGTGGTGCAATCTCAGCTCACTGCAACCTTTGCCCCCAGGGTTCAAGTGATTCTCCTGCCTCAGCCTCCCAAGTAAGTAGCTGGGATCACAGGCATGTACCATCATGCCCAGCTAATTTTTGTATTTTTAGTAGAGATGGGGTTTCACCATGTTAGTCAGGCTAGTCTTGAACTCCTGACCTCATGATTTGCCTGCCTCAGCCTCCCAAAGTGCTGGGATTAGGTGTGAGCCACTGTGCCTGGCCAAGGGCTCTTTAAATTACTTTAAGTTAGACCCAAAATGCTGAGTAGAGGATGGATGGTGGGGTAGTGATGCTGGTGGAGATCTTAGGTATGCAGCCGGCCATCTGATCAGTAACTGGCTGGGTATCTATCAGGTATGGGCATGGTCAGAGGCCTTTTCAAATATTACCAACAGGCTGAGGGAATCTCACCCTCTCGAACCCAGCTCCCTGACTCTGGAAAAGGTACAGCTCTGATTTTTCAGATTTTACCTCCCTCTACTCTGAGGTGAATAACTCCCTGCCCTCTTAATTTCCCTGAAGCCTGCTCCAAACCCAAACTCTCTGGTTGGGAAGTCCCCCTGACTTCCAGAGATGCCAGCCTGTCTCAGACTCCTCCTGGGAGCCAAGAAAATGCCAACCTGAGGGGAAGGGGACAGACCAAAGTAAAAAACTCACCAGCTAGGAAGTGTCCAAATTCCTCTCTTAGACAGGAACTACAGAGAAGTTACTTCAACTGGGCAAACAACAGACCTATTTTTCAGTTTGCTGGTTTCTGGACACCACTCTGAAGCCTTTTTCTAAATGTCTTCAGCTCCAGGTCTCCACTCAACATTTCCTCCATCTGTCTCTCTTGCAACCAGTGCCCTTGGCTCTAACCTCAAACCACATTCAGCTCCATCCTCCTTTGGCTGCCAAAGGACTCAGGCTCCTTGGACTGAAAACTTCATACAAAGACCCATTGAACCTACTGGGCTCAGGTCTAAGGGAACTACTTATTACTCTCTGAACTTCCGTGCGCTTGCTGAAGAGAACTGTGGGATGCATGAGGCAATAGCTGTGACTTGCCTCACGGATCCCCTGTGAGACCCTTAAACAGAGCAAACTGGCCTGGTTGCCAATCCCTTTGGATATAAGAAGCAGGAAAGGTATGAGGGAAAATGAAATCTTGCTCCAAGTTAAACAAGCATCCAACAATTTTTTTTTTTTTTTTTGAGACGGAGTTTTTTGCTCTTGTTGCCCAGGCTGCAGTGCAGTGGTACGATCACAGCTCATCACAATCTCGTAACCACCGCATCCTGGGTTCAAGTGATTCTCCTGCCTCAGCCTCCCGAGTAGCTGGGATTACAGGCATGTGCCACCATGCCTGGCTAATTTTGTATTTTTAGTAGAGACAGAGTTTCTCCATGTTGGTCAGGCTGGTCTTGAACTCCCGACCTCAGGTGATCCGCCCGTCTCAGCCTCCCAAAGTGCTGGGATTACAGGCCTGAGCCACTGTGCCTGGCCCAGCAATTTCTTTTAAAGGGGAAATCAGATGTCACCTCGCTGACCTAAAATTCTCCAATGACTTCCCATTGCACTTAAGTAAAATCTAAACAAGGTCAGGTGTGGCGGCTCACGCCTGTAATCCCAGCACTTTGGGAGGCCAAGGCGGGTGGATCACTTGAGGTCAGGAGTTTGAGACCAGCCTGGCCAAAGTGGTGTAACTCCATCTCTACTAAAAATACAAAAATTAGCCAGGCATGCTAGTGCACGCCTGTAATCACAGCAGCTTGAGGGGGCTGAGGCACGAGAATTGCTTGAAGCTGGGAGGCAGAGGGTGCAGTGAGCCAAGACTGCACCACTGCACTGCTGCCTGGGTGACAGAGCGAGACTCTGTCTCAGAAAAAAAAAAAAATCTAAACGAATTCCAAACTTCTTAACTTGGCCTACAGAGCCCTATAGGACTCCTGTGACTTCTCCAGCCTCATCTTGTACCAAATTCTTTCTTGTCAGTGGAATACTCTTCCACTAGAGACTGGCTCCTATTTGTAATTCAGGTCTCAGCACACTGTCATTTCCTCAGAGAGAGCTTCCCTGACCATCCAATCTCAGGTGTTTCTCCTCCAATTATATTAACACTATTTCATTCCTTTTATATAATTTGGCACCCTCAGGTATCATCTTATTTATGCTTCTCTTGTCCGACCAAAATGCAAGCTATACAATCAGCCAGTGCCTACAACAGTGCCTGATACATAGAAAAATGCTCAATATTTATTTAGTGAATAAATAAATAGCTACAGAAGATGAATGTGGAAGCCACACTTGGGATTTCTACAGTCCTGGGGGGAAAGAAGATAGAAGGAACAGCTCACAGGATGGCAAAGGGATTTGGAAACCTTAAGAAAAAAAAAATTGAAGGCACTGAGGAGATTTCCCCGGGGGAAGAGAAGACTCAAGGGGAATGGCATAAATGACTTTGAATATCTGAAGAGGTAGCACACAGAAGAGGAACTATATTTGTTCTTTTGCTCTAGAGGAGAAAAGCAGGGTAGATGACTCTAAGGGAGTCACAACATGGGATATGGGAAATGCTGAAAGTCAAGAAAATTCAGTTCTAGTCCTGCCCCAAGTCATGGATTCACTTTGATCTCGGGGCTAGTCTGTTCTCTTCTCTAGAATGTGGCATAAGGAGCTGGACTGGTTGTAACATGACTAATAGGTTTTACCTTACAGGCTAACTCCAATTGATTGGCAGTGGCTGCCTGGTGCATTGTGATGAGAAGAATCCTGAAGAAATTAATGGGAATATCCATCAATGGGGAACGATTAATAAACTGGGGCAGATCCCACAGTGTACGATATAACATATCTATTAAAAACATGCCTAATGTGGCCAGGCAAGGTGGCTTACTCCTGTAATCCTAGCACTTTGGGAGGCTGAGGCAGGTGGATCACTTGAGGTCAGGAGTTCGAGACCCACCTGGCCAACATGGTGAAACTCCATCTCTACTAAAAACACAAAAATTAGCTAGGTGTGGTGGCCGGTGCCTGTAGTCCCAGCTACTTGGGAAGCTGAGGCAGGAGAATCACTTGAATCCAGGAGGCGGAGGTTGTAGTGAGCTGTGATTATACCACCTTACTCTAGCCTGGGTGACAGAGCAAGACTCCATCTCAAAAAAAAGAAACAAACAAACAAACAAACAAAAAAAAAACAAAGCTATATACAATGTTTCATCTGTAACTATTTAGAGGGATGTCCATAAGCTACATAGTAACATGTACAATATAATGCCTTTTTTTTTTTTTTTTGAGATGGAGTTTCGCTCTTGTTGCCCTGGCTGGAGCACAATGGTGCAATGTTGGTTCACCACAACCTCAGCCTCCCAGGTTCAAGTGATTCTCCTTCCTCAGCCTCCTGGGTAGTTGGGATTACAGGCATGTACCACCCTGCCTGGCTAATTTTATATTTTTAGTAGAGATGGGGTTTCTTCATGTTGGTCAGACTGGTCTTGAACTCCCGACCTCAGGTGATCCGCCCGCCTCAGCCTCCCAAAGTACTGGGATTACAGGCGTGAGCCACTGCACCCGGCCAATATAATGCCATTTTCGTGATTTCAAAAAGCCACATACAAAACTCTTTACATATTTTATATATGAATATATATGTTTGTATGTTTATAAATATATAGAAGAATACACCCCAGGCTGCTAACACTATCTTGGAGAAACAGGGGATTATTAACACTATCTTTATATAACTTTGTACTATTTCACTAGTTGCAAATGAATACATATTACTTTTGTAATTTTTGAGAACGAATTTAATTAAAAACAATTTTAAGGCAGCATACTTCCTGACTCAGTGAGAAACAGTGCTGTGATTAATTATCAATGTTTGCCCTGGATGCAGGGTGGATGAGTGGTAGCTCACGCGCCTAAAAAAAATCAGTTTTCCTTCCCAGCTCCAGCATTTTGTGGCTTTCAGTCCCAAGGAGGCAGCAGCTGCCTCAACATAAGGAAGAATTTTAAAATAACGCATCTGTCCAAGAATGGAACTGGCTGCCATGTGGGGAGGTAATGAGCTCCCTGGCTGCTGGAAGTGGTCAAGCGGAGGCTGGATGAACATCCCTTGGGAGTGGGAGGGATTCCTTCACTGGGTGGCAACTCATAAGATAGAAGGACATGTTACTATTTCAGAGGGAACATTTGTGACGGGAGGTTTGATATGCCAACAGCATTTACAGCAAAAAAAACGACCAAATCCACAAACAGACCAAAGTTGTGCACACTCTTTCCCATAAATTCTTTTACTGGGTTGTTACTTTTCCTAAGCAACAGCACTGTACCCCCCCAACCCTGCCCAAATGAGCTGCTGACTAAACATTAATCCAGCTCCCCCCACCCAGGCCAAATGCAAGAAGCAAAGCTTTAGGACGTCTCAAACATGATGCTCACAAGG